ACGCCCCAAATGCTCGGTCTCCAGTACTTCTACGTGGCGGCGCCCCCGCAGGCACGCAGAGGGCCCGCGTGGCGACGGGGGCGTCGCCACGCAGAGCTTCTAAAGACCAAACATTTTGAAAACCAATTGTTTCCACTAAAGTAATTGGGGTGGTCATGATATTGTTGCAGCGACGAGCCCTGCCATGCGGTAGAGAATGGACGCACGACAGGCCATCACCCGCCGACGCAGGTCAGACCTGGGGCCAGAACAGCACCAGTCCTGGGGTGTCTCCCCCATGGCAGCATCTTTGACTTTGGTGGCCTGAGAGCTCCGAGTAGACGGGTGCGAAGACCTACCATTACGTGTTTTCGACCATGTGAGGGGTTTAATCGGCTACATGTAGGTAAGTAGTGCCAGGTTCGTCCCGTCGTTCGTCCGCCGCGCGGCGCTAGTGGGTAAGTCATCCAGGTTCGTGCCGTCGTTCGTCGCGGCCACCACTTGACCTGGGCCGCGCCGCTCGTCGTTCCTCGAAGGCAACAACTCGGGTCATGTGGTTTCCGTCGTAGATCACATGTTTTTTTTTCCGTCTTGCGATCCCAGCTCAGAGACAACATATAATCGAATAGCTAAAATGCCAACATTGTGGAAGAAATGGGCGTGGGGCCCCATCGGCCCCTAATCGGAAAACCAATGGTTCAACAAAAAAACAGTTCTCTGGGTTTGGGATTTTTGTGTATATATATATATATATCTCTTGTTTGGCGATCGCCCCGATTAATTTCAGGAGTTGTGGAATCTGTTTCACGGATGCGTTCAGGAATTCATTCATCTAAAGGTCGCAGGTTTGCGTAGAAGTGGTAATAGTTTCTCCAGTTATTTGTTCATCTCGAAAATTTAGTAATTAGAGGTTGTTGTATGTGTTGTTCGTCGTTTCAGTAGAGTACTTCACGTCGAAATGCGAGTTTGTTTGTCGTTGTTCGAGAAGGGTGGGCATGGTCCTTCATGTCGCGCCGTTTGTCGATAAACAAGGGACTTCAGTATTCTGGAAAATCCGTTCGTTCGCCGTTTTCTCCCCAGCATGTAATTCAATGTATAGAGACCCCCTCGTTTTCGGCCCTCGAGCCCGCGCAGGGCGCACGCCCCCACCCGAGAGGATCTCGTGGGCCGAGCACGTCGCACAGAACCGCACCCTCCCGGCCATGACGCCGAACGGTGAGCACCTCGGTTGGCGGTGCTTCGGCACTCCCCTGGACGGGTCCCAGGACCGAGGAACCGATCAGCAGCTTCCATGGCCGCAGGGACCGCGGATCGGGAGTGAGCCGCACCCTCGGATTCACGCAGAGCGAACGCCGCCTTCGCTTGCCAGGCTTGGAAAGGAGACGGGCAGCACTTCCTGCGTTTCCCTCTGCGGAGTTGCGCCCGGGATGGCGGGGTCTTAACATAGAGGTTACAGACTTTACACCGCCATTTTCCATGCGTGGAGAAGTGCCACAGTTCATGCTCGGTCAGGACGACCGAGCCCTTGGGTGCAACACTCGGACCCTCGGGAGGAGAAGGGCCCGGGAGCTACTAGGCAAGCGCAGCGATCGATAGGGCAAGCTTGGACAGGAAACCGATAGTCAGCTTGATCGACTTCAGCGAGCTGCTTTGACATTATTCTGGTGACGACGCGGCGCCATGTGAGTCAGCCCCGAGACGCGCGAAGAAGTCAGCCCACATGTTGCCTAATGAATGTTCAACCTACCAGGTGCCCCCTCCCTCGACCACACTCATCCACTCACGGTGGGACGGGGCCCATTCCAACGGGAGGCCGAGGGTCAGAAGGCTTGTGCATGGCATCGATGGCTCCCCCTATCGGCATGCCGCCCACTGAACATAGCAGAGGCCCGGATGGGGTCCCGCGCCAACCCCTCATGGAGAGCGCTCGGGTGGCCCGAGACAGCCCGCACGCCCGCGGGGCAGACTCCGGTGCGCCTTGGCACACCGCAGAACGCTCAGCCCTAGGCACAGACTGGACACGACCAGGGAGGGCGCCAGAGCGGGCGCTGCTCGACAGGACCCATGGGGCCGACTTCCACCGCGGCCCCTCCACGCCTCCGAGGCTTCTCCTCCTCCTCGTCCTCCTCCTCGTCGTCCTCCGCCGTCTCCTCCTCCTCCTCCTCGATCTCCACGCTAGCAGCAGCGCCTGCCGCTACCCTGCCTTTGGCATGGGCTAAAGGCGAACAGCCTCGGCCAGTCCTCGGCGAGCCACGTCCAGGGCGTCGTCGCCGTCGGCCGTCGGCCGTTGTCGTCGTCGCCGCCGCCGCCGCCGCCATTAGCGTCGTCGTCGTCATCGTCGTCGTCGGGCGCAGCGCTCCCCACTGGACTCTGCGCGGGCGCGACGGCCCTCCGCTCCCCTCCCGACAGCCGGTGGCGCAGGCTGCAGCTGGCCGACGGGCAGCAGCTTCGGGCGCACGGCGCCATCGTCACCAGCCGGCGGCCCGAAGGAAAGGCCAACATGGTGGCGTTGCAGTCTTAGTTGTCCTCCTCCTCTTCCTCCTCCTCCTCCTCCTCCTCCTCCTCCTCCTCCTCCTCCCCTCCTCCTCCGCTCTTCCTCCTCATCCTCCTCCTCCTCTTCCTCCTCCCTCCTCTCCTCCTCCTCCTCCTCCTCCTCCTCCTCCTCCTCCTCCTCCCCTCCTCCCCCCTCCTCTTCTCCTCCTCCTCCTCCTCCTCCTCCTCCTCCTCCTCCTCCTCCTCCTCCTCCTCCCCCTCCTCCTCCTCCTCCTCCTCCTCCTCCTCCTCCTCCTCCTCCTCCTCCTCCTCCTCCTCCTCCTCCTCCTCCTCTCCGGCCAGTCGCGGGGATGGCGCCCCCACTGGCTCTCTGGGGGCCGCCCAGAGGGGGACCGTCCACTGTCCAGTGCGCCCCGGGCCAGCCTCGTCTTGAGGCAGGCCCTGGGATGCGACGCGGGCCGAAGGCTGCCCGCGCCCTCTGTGGGGGGGAGCAGGAGGAGGGGAGCAGCAGGGGCGGCCGGGAGGGGAAGGGGAAGGGGCCGGGGGGCGGGGGCCGTCGCGGTGGGCGGGCGGGCAGCCAGGGTGGCCGCGGAAGCCGTGGTCGTGGTGGTCGAGCCGGTAGTGGTCGAGCTGCTGGTCGTCGTGGTGGTCGTGGTGGCCGTGGTGGTCGTAGTGGTCGTGGTTTTAGTGCTGACGGCCGGCCTGGTGGTGGCCGTGGTGCTCGCGGTGATCGTGGTGGTCGTTGGTGGTCGTGGTGGTCGTGGTGGTCGTGGCCGTGGCGGTCCAGGCGGCCCAGCTGGTGGTGGTCGTGGTGGTCGTGGTGGTCGTGGTGGTCGTGGTGGTCGTCGTGGCCGTGGTGGTCGTAGTGCTGGTGGGTCATTAATTAGCACGCACTGAGAATCATCTGGGCGTTGCCCACAACCAACGTGCGCTGGATGCGGCGCCACGCGGTGGCGATGACCGCTGACCGCTCTGCTTCAGGCAAATCTTTCCCGTACGAACGGACAAATGAGACGAGCTCATTTGCCGGCCGCCCTCCCGTCTCCAGGACAGCTGGGACCAGCTCGCCGCCCGAGGGGGGGTAGCGGTTCCGTTTGACGCCCACCGCCTGCGACGCGGCCAGCCCGTCATTGTTGGATCTTGCCCACCTGCGCTCGGGGTTGTCAGAGATTGGCTGTCCGGTGGTCGCGTCGCGGGTAGCCACGTCGAGGCGGGTTTTTTCCAGCTCCCCGGTGACTGGGTCCACACGGTCCAACGCAGGGACACGCTTCTCGGTGACCGCCATGTGGCCCGTCTGCGCCTGGTGGAAGGGCGCACTCCAGTCTCGGAGGCTGTTGCGGCGGTGGTCGCGAGAGCCCCCGCAGCCGCATTTCAAGGGGTGCCAGCCCTTGGGGTCCAGGGGCACACCACATATCGTGCCGTCTCGCTTGCGGTGCTGGCAAGCCGCCCCTCGCGTGCAGACGTCAGCTCGGAGGCGCTTGCGCAGGCCCACGTGGAAGTGGGTGTCAGGGATCGGCGCGTCCCCTTCCTGGCGCGGGAGATCCAACTCCCCGCCGAGGTCCCGCTGCTCTCGCGGAGGGCGAGCCGGTCGTCTTCGCCAAGGGTTTGCAGCAACTGTCCCCGCCTGTGCTCGGAAGTGCGCTTGGCCCAGTAGCCCTGTAGTTTGGCTCGTGGCTCTGCCGAGTAGTTCCCCCAGCTAATAGGGCCCTCCTTCACCCCTTGGGCGTCCAGCTCGGTTTTTGCGCTCCTCATGTCCCGGGCAATGCGCGGGCACCTGGACCGAAAGCCTTCGAGGGAGGTGACCCCGAGGCAAGTGGCAACGCTGGGGAGGACGAGGGCCCAGCTGCCCAGGTACGCGCGCGCAGCCGTGTCCCGTGCTGACGGGAAGGCGCAGCCCCCGTCGGACAATCCCAGTCTGGCCTGCTCGCGCTGGGGGCGTCGAAGGCGAAACCGGCGAACTCTTCGTAGGCGCCCCACAGAAGGTCATCCAGCTGCGCCGCCCAGGCGGTCTCATAGTTGGCCCGAAGCCAATGAGTAGCGCACCCCTGCGCATATGTGCGCAGGAGTGTGTGGGCACCCTCGGCTGTCAGCCCGTTGTCCCGCAACTGTCGCCAGTGCCGCAAGAAGCGCCGCGTCTTGTCGAGGACTTCGCGTCCGTCGGTCGTGCCGTGAACAGGGAGTCGTCCGTTCTCGTCGTCGTCGCGGTCGTACCACGAAACCGGGTTCCCGAGCACCGTGAGGGCGGGGACCCGGCGCGCCTCCAGCTGCTGCAGCAGCGCCGTGCCTTGGGCGGGCGTCCACGCCTGCGTCTTGTCAGGGTTCAACGTTAGTCCGGCCGCCGCCAGCTCCTCCTGCACGATCTCGCACGTTTGGGCCGCCAGACCCGCGGGCACCACAGCCACCACGTCATCTAAGCAGGAGAAGATGCGAGCCGAGGGGTGCAGGTGCTTCAGTCTCGCGTCGGCCCGGGACAAGGCGTCGGCAATTCCGATGGCGAAGAGCCCCGGGGAGAGCGGGCAGCCCTGGTCCACCCCGGTCCGTGCCCGCACCGGCAGCGCTGCGCCGTCGCGGGGCCAGTATGTGTGAAAATTATACGTTTTACGAAATGGGCTAATTTTTGCGTCTAGGGACCCTCTTGGGACACATCTTGGAGGCCTCTTGGGGCCTCGTGGGGACCTCTTGGGCCGTCTAGGAGGCCTCTTAGCTTGTCTTTGGGCCATCTTGGGCGTCTTGGAGCGCTCGTTGGGCGTCTCGGGGCCCTCGTGGGCCGTCTTGGAGGCCTCTTGGGGCCTTCTTGGACCGTCGCGTGGGCCCGTTTGCGCGCTTTTGGCCCGTTTTGGGACCTTCTGCTCCCCCATGACGCTTTCGGCGGTGGGTGCCCCGGGGCCGGGGGGGGTCAAATCTCCGGTTTAGGGTCCCTGGGGGAGTATGGGGGGGGACTGTCTCACACGCCTCGAGACCCACAAGGGGTCGGCGGATTCATGCTATCTTCAGCCTGAATCGTCCCGACTCGCTCTCCCCCTCCTCTTCCCCCTCCGTCCTCTTCCTCCTCCTTCTCCTCATCCACCTTCTCCTCTTTCTCCTCCTCCTTTTCCTCCTCCTCCTCCTCCTCCTCTTCAAATCCTCCTCCTCCTCTTCTTCCTCCTCCGCCTTCTCCCCCTCTTTTTCTTATTATTTTTCTTCCTCCCCCTCCTCTTCTTCTCCTCCTCCTCCTCCTCCTCCTCCTCCTCCTCCTCCTCCTCCTCCTCCTCCTCCTCCTCACTCCTCCCTCCTCCTCCCTCCTCCTCCTCCTCCTCCTCCTCCTCCTCCTCCTCCTCCTCCTCCTCCTCCCCCTTTTCCTCCTCCCTCCTCCTCTCCCCCTCCTCCTCCTCCTCCTCCTCGCCCCTCCTCCTCCTCCCTTTCCTCCCTCCTCCTCCTCCTCCTCCTCCTCCTCCTCCTCCTCCTCCTCTCCTCCTCCTCCTCCTCCTCCTCCTCCTCCTCCTCCTCCTCCTCCTCCTCCTCCTCCTCCTCCTCCTCCTCCTCCTCCTCCTCCTCCCTCCCCCCCCCCGCTCCGTGTTTTCCTCCCTCTCCCCCTCACCCCCCCCTCTTCGACCTCCCTCTTCCGCCTGGGTAGACTCTGCGCCCCGTCAGCTCGGCGGAGGCAAGCGGGGCGAAGAGCCCACTGGAGCCCCCCGGCAGGCACGGGCCACTACGCGCATTTGCGGCCTGGGCCCCAGATGCGTGCAATGCCCCGCCTCCCCCCCGGTCCCCAAGGGTCATCCGCCCCTGCTGTTGCCTCCGACGCCCGTCTTCAATCCATGGGCCCTTGCCGACGCGCGTTTCTGTTTCAATCTGCGGCCCCAGGGGTCCCTCGGCCGGATGGCGATGGGGGGATCAGGACATGGGGGGATGAGTATCCGGTACCGTCTTGTTGGGGTACAAGTTGTACCTTCTCTGCGGGTTGCAAGTACAAATTGTACCCTCCCCCCCCCCGTTAACATCCTCGCACATGTCGCGGACGTGGTCAAAAGTACAATTTGTACCTTGTCTGCGTGGCGTCGGTACAAATTGTACCTTCTCCGTGGGGCGTAGGTACAATTTGTACCTCGGTTGCGCCTCTCTCCCCATCTGGACTTATCCCCCCATTTGCATCCCGCCAAGTCCCGACCCGTTCCCCTGGAGGCGGCATTTTCGTCCCGGATCTGTTTGCGGCGGCCCCGGGGCCCGACGACGGGCCCCAGAGGCCAACGTCGAGGAAAAACCGCCCAGATTGAACACACCAGAGGGTCCCAGATCTGGGGACCGAGCCTCCCCGGACTGAAGTGCACTTTGACGAGAACTGCTGAGGCGGATCCAGCCTTGGCGACGAGGGTTTTCCAGCACGAGTGGCGGCATCGGTATTTTGTTCTCCTCGATCCCTTGTTTTCGGGTGTTTATTCGGGTATCGGGCGACCGAGCGGGACGATCCCGGCACCCATGAAGCGCCCGTGGCGAGGCGCAGCGGATGGGAACCGTCCGGGGCTTCGGAGACATGCAGAAATCTAGGGAAACTGAAAGGACACCTTGCGAAAACCTGTAAAAGCTTGTTCTCTTCCTCCACCGGACTTCAGTTTTGAGCCATCGGTTTTCAGGGCGGGGGAAGACACTGCAGATCCGTGCCGTGTCGACGTGGCGGCGATCAGATTGATCACCGCTGGTGGCCCAGAACCGGTCGATGTGGAACGATCCGCGCTATCGGGAAGCCGCGATCGTTCAAGGTTGAACGATCTACGCAGTGTCACCTGCCGCGTTGAAACCACCATCCACGCGGTGTCGCCGGCCGCGCGAACAGCGGTGTCGCGTCGCACTATCTGCGCGGTGTCGCCCGCCGCGTTGTTCAAGGTTGTCTCATCTTTTGATGCGTGGACCCCCGAGGGTCTGGACCGCTTTTTTCCTGGGCCGTTTTTCGTCCCAGTGTCCCCCCGTCCGACCCGCTGTTTGCACGGTCGCAACAACGATGTTTTGATTTGTTTCCAACCGTATTTTGGTATGGGGTCCTCGTTTTGAATA